AACGTTTCTGTTCTTCATAACCAACTGATGCGAAAACAAAATAACAGAATAACACTATGGATCCGAAACGTCAGTTGACTTCCAATGGAAAACATGGCGTTATATTCCAGACGACAAAACTCTTCATAACCACTGTTCTCAGAACCTCAAATCCTATAATTTAGATCATATTATTCATGGAGATCCGGCCTACAAAACCGAAATTAACGACCGTGTGGATTCGTTGCGCTGACCACGCGACACCCTCTATTCGCTAAAGTTGGTACCAACTTCGTTGACAAGCGGCGGTCGCTCGGTCGGTATAGTTCGCTTGCGGGATAAAAACACGGAGTTTGTTTTTTATTCATGGAGATAAATTAAAACGAAATTATCTAACGAATATCACTGATTATGAACTCCCTTGAAAAGTAGATATTTACTCTGATGATGAAGACATTTACATGTTTTTATGGAACCAAAGAGTTCATCACTGTATTCACAAAAGTCTAGCGTTGAACCATATTCTATTCTAAATTTATATTTATTTGGAATCCATTAATACTAAAAAAATGCATCTGTATAAGTTCCACGAGTTAGACATTATTTTATAATAAAAAGATACTGGTTTTCTCTGTATATATTAATACTGTCCATCCATATAAAGCTCTGTCTTTCATGGACCCTTGGGATTTCTTGACCAAATTTAGCAAGCATTCTTCTTCTATGAGTGCTATATGAGCCACCCTTATCATCATTCTTGATTTAATCACTTTAAGGAAATTAATGAAAAAATACATGTTTTCAAGTTGCTCATTACTTAATTTTTTCCATATATCTGCCACTAAGTCTCAGATATATATCTAATAAGTTCAAATATTCTCTTTGGAAATTCGTTCTAAAAATATCTCAATCATTTCTTATCTCAGAGTGAGAGATCAAACTTCTGTAACACATTCTGAGAATAAAGAACTTTTCCATCAGCCTAGTGGCTGAGGCAAACAGGAAGATCTGTAAAGCTGGGGGAAAGACTGATTAAATGTGATAAAATATATACACACACATTCATATTGCAGAAGGATTTGAACTCTGGACAAGTGAGCTGAGACCAAAAGCACAGAGTTTCAACAAAAATCCAATATGATCAGTTGCACAGGCTCTTCAAGCGCTAAGGAAAGAACATAAATTTCAAGTGTCTGAAAACAAAATGGTCAGGAAACCATATGTGTCCAAGTGAGCTGAAATTAGTGGGTAATTCAGAATATTATAAAAGAAGGAACTTTGTGATTTATACAGGTCACTTGTGGGATCATATCCCGATGAGGTGAATTTTTTCAATTTACCTAATCCTTCCAGGCGCACTATGGCCCTGGGGTGGACTCAGCCCAGTACCAGTACCAGGAATATTCTTGGAGGTAAAGGGCGGCCAGCACGTAGGGCTGACCACCTTACCGCCATCTATGATCTGACTGTCAAGAAAATGTGGGAATCTCAACATCTCACAACCCTATGGGCATCCTGTTGCATGTATACCTTTACTACTTTTTACTTCATGTCATTAGGGAATAAACATTATGTTATATGAGCTGGGCAAGTAGCTTGGATGGGGGAAATAAGAAATACACAAAAGAAAGTTGGTGGTGAAAGCTTTGGAAAGTAGCATTTTGGATGACCAAGAAGAAAACAGTAGGATAACATTAGGATGGATGCAGAAATAAAATGTGAAATCGTGCAATGGATGGAATAGGTTTAGGATTGTGTCTCATGGCAAGCTTTGGTATTAGCACCATTGGACTCTTGAGTACTACTACTGCTAACAACGCTGTTACTTCCCATTATTTAATAAAAATTATACAGTGAATGTTATTACAACGATCTTCACTGGACCTTCAAAATGCCAAGCTTAAAATTAACACCTATTAGGTGTGATTCTTGGCTATGAATCTGAAACACACAATTCCAATATTTAAAGAATTCTGTAGAAAACCAATTCAAATTGAAGTACAGTACATAGACTTTCATATTCTGACAATGAAGCCATTTTCTTACATACTGACCAGGTTTGAATGAATTTCAACTGAACTATGTACACTCTCACTGCACTTATTCATCAACAATGGTTGTAAGCAACTTTACACACAGAATGTATAAGAATCATAGGAAAGAAAGAGTAAATTTACTAACAGAAAGGAAGATCTGTATAATTACTATACAATAATGATGGATAAATTATGTAGAATCTTATAAACTATATTTCTGTGTCTTACATACAAAACAATATTCACTCTTTCTCACAGTAAAGTACAAGGAATGTGTTAAATGTTGGAAGTACTGAACTCTTCAAATAATAAAACATACATAAAACATGAAAGTACACCAAGTAAGTACAGCATCATTTTAAATGTGTGATATAATTTTTTGTGGATTTTAAATACAAAAATATTTTCTTCTTTACATTTTGTTCCCAATTCAATGAGAACTGTATTATTAATTTTAAAACAGTGCTGTAAATAAATAACATTAAATCATTATATATACAAATTCAGTAAAATAATCTCAATATTCTGCATTCAACTGTAGGCTGTGACATTCACCAAGTACATGCATTATTATATTTGCACATACTCATACAAAAATATTTTCTCCCACAAGTGATTTGTCTTTGGCCATTATAACATACAGTTCTATTAAGTTAATTTGGTTTCAGTAACTACATCCATTAATTAGTGTGAGGTTTGCCATACGTGATACTTTACGTCTAAGCTTGGATATAAGAGCGTATAAATGACCTCTAATATTCGTAGATTTCAGGCTTTCACAGTGGTTAATTACTGATGCTAATTGTCCTTGGGTTGTGGATAATGTTGCTGATATCTCAGAAACTCACCAACCTCCACATTTCAACCCTGAAGATGAAGGGGGCATGTACCTCCAAAATGCACAACACAATGTAACAACCCAGGAACAGAATTAACAAAAACCCAGTATGGTTATCCATGTATATAAAAGCATAACATTAGCCATTCTGTCTCTGTCCATATACAGAAGTCACTGTAATTAACTGTTTACAGGACTACCCATGTGGCAGTGGACTTATGCTTTGATTACAACCGTATTCTTGACCTTTACCAAAAACACATCTCCATTGTTCACGGCGTGCATATTCAGTGAAATTGTCATTTAAATGTATATCAGTGGAGGGGTTAATTGTGGAAACTATAGCCAGAGACAGAAAATATATATATTTTCTTAAAGTTCTCCCTGTTTGTTGCATTTGAAATAATTCAGAATAATCATTACAAATTGTTCACAGGAAAAAAATATAGCGCATATGGTGGTAAAGTCAAACAAACAGCTATTAGTAAAATTATAAAGTGCCTATTGGTGTTTATTTTGTATCTGAGAGCCAAATCACTCAACCACCATTTCTTCTCATTGGTCAGGTTACAACTGCAAGAAACTAATCTGTTATTTAGTGGTGACTTTGGTGATGACCAATATGGCGCTGTGTTGCCAGTTGAAGAAAAGAAAGGCTACATATTTCTGAGAAAGATTATTTTATACACAAACTTTTTTGAAAAATATTCCTTAGATAGCAGCAGTGTAATACCTTCGTACTACACAGCTGTCTTTCCAGAACTTTTTGATGACCCCAGAGAAATATCATAATTTATGCATATGATTATTACAGGATGTCCCAGTTTTAAATAAGGAAGGTGTTCTTGGGAAAAATTTTGAAGAACTGAAATTCCATAAAGGAAATTCAATTTTTTCATTGACTCTTATGTTACAGGTGGTGGTGCATTCTTATGTAAATCATAATAACAAGAAGGAAGTTTTAATAAACATTTAAATACAAACAAAATTAAAAACTGACAGAAAGAACTATCATTATTAATCACACCAGTCCACAGTTCTAATAAAAATACATATCTTTACCTGTTAGAAATAAGAGCAAGGATAAGGATATCTAACGACAGGTAAACTGAATAATCTAACATACACAGTGTGTCCAGGTTCTGTTAGGACTGTGTTCATTAAAAATACACGACGTGAATTATTTTAAAAATTTCACTCTTTTTATTCAAAATAGTCTCCTTCTGAATCTATACATAGCTGGAATCAATTGAAGAGTTTTCGAAAACAGTCACTGCACTCCTTTTGTGGAATCGCATTTAAAACTGCAGTACATTCCCTTTGGATGTCCTGGATGGTGTCGTGAAGGTCTCCTTTCATCGCCAACTTAACTTTTGGGAACAACCAGAAATCCGGAGCCAAATCTGACGAATACAGAGGATGATCAAGGACTGTGATCCCTCTTCTGGCCAAAAATCATGCACGATCTTCAATTTGTGGGGTGGGCATTGTCGTGGAGGAGTGACCAGGAACCTTGCTCTCGATATTCAGGTCGAATTCGAAGAACTCTCGCCCACAAACGATTGAGGACTCCGAGATAATAATCAGAATTCACTGTTTGACCTTCTGGAAGAAATTCCTTGTGAATGATTCCTTTGGAATCGAAGAAAATGGTTAGCAGTGTCTTTACTCGACTCTTTTGCATGTGCATTTTCTTTGGTTTCGGCTTCTTTGGGATCAACCATGCTGCACTCTGCCGCTTTGTGAGAGGCTCATATTGAAAACACCATGTCTCATCACCAGTAACAATCGATTTTGTAAATTTTGTATCACTTTGGGCCGACCATAACATGTCTTTGCAGTGTTCCACTCTGGCATGTTTTTCATCACCTGACACCGCATGCAGTACAAACCACGCACAGACCTTCCTTATGCCCAAATCTTCGGTCAAAATTTGATGCACAGTACTTTTTGGTATTCCCAAAAGCTTCTCGATGAGTCTTGCAGAAACACATCTGTCTGATGCAAGGATTTCGGTAACTTTTTTCACATTTTCTTCGGTGTGACTTGTTCTTGGCTTTGATGCATGTGGAGCGAATTCAATGTCCTCCCTGCTGTCACGAAATACAGCATACCATCGACAAATGTTCGAGCGACTCAAACAATCACTACCGTACACACTTTTCAATCATGTCATACGCTTCTCCGGCTGTTTTGCCTAACTTCAAACAAAATTTGATATTGGCTCTCTGTTCAGCTGCCATTTTCCCACGAGCATCAGAACAGTACTGTTACATTCAAGGTCAGAACACATGATGCAGCGATGCTTGCGCTTTGAAATTAAGATACAAATTTGTTAGTTTGGATACCATTCATCCGGACACCCTATATTATGAAGTATATCAAGGTACTTTTCTGAAATAATGTAATTTATGATATATCAAAATGTAATTTTAGCAGCATCTAGAATTATTGCTCATTTCTGATTTGAAATTCTTATAATGCATAATTATATCAGCAGTACAAGTGCCTACTAGAGGGCACATTTTTGTTTTTATAGTCTCCAGAACTAAAATGAAACGGATAAATAATCTGAAGTTTTTATGATGCCTTGCACATGTGATGCAATGCACTACATGGTGATATGTCTTATGGATAGTGGGGGGGGGGAGACACATGCATGCACACATTCACGCACACTCTCTCTCTAGTTCAGATTTTTCAACTCGCATAGTAAAACAAAGTTCAAATTCCTGAATGAATTAATCACCTTCACTTGTCTTAATTGTCTGAAATATTATATGATTTTGTTTCCAGAATATATGCGAACAAACCCCACACCTAAACATAAAATTAGTCACATTAAATACAACTATCAGCCAAGAGTTGCATTAAATGTTATATGATATTCAAGATTTTCACACAAACAATGATTGTAAATTCTCAGAATGGCAGGTCTTCAAAAGTAGAACTTGATCTGTCAATATGACATACTAATATTTAATTATTTTTTCTTTAAAATCATAAATGTATGTATGTGCCACAACATATGATCAAATACAATTTTGTATCCTAATTAGCGGCAAATAGGACACATCAATTTGAATACTGTCTTTGATTTGTAAAAAAGTAATCTAAAAAAATAGAATTTCTTCTCATAACAGGTTAAATATTTCAAAGTTTATATACCCCCAATTAAAATTAAGTTAAAGATACAATTAATTGGAATGGTGCCTGCTCCTTTTTTTGGTTGAAAAACTTTTTTCAAAACAATGCTATAAGGTTCACAGATGAAAACACATTACAGTATACCAGTATCTACTTACATGATTATATTTATATCACCTGTGATATGAACTACCATTAGAGCCAAATCACAAAAAAAAAAAAAAATTACTAAACTTACTACTGCCTAGAACATCACTGGTCATCACACATATGAGTAAGAAGCAATGTTGTACACAGTTACACAAACCACTCTATGAATACTAGAACCAGAGTGAGAACGGAATTACAACACCTTCAGAACTGCAACTTCCATTCTAAAATCACATATCATCAACATTACCAGTTTACTATTACATTTGGAGGACAATGCAACAACAAAATGTTATGGCAATATTGTTTTCCTCTTGTTTATGAATTACATTTAGTGCTTGAAAAAAGCAGTATGATACTAAAACCTCATTAGTTACTTTAATCCTTTCACTGCGGGGGGGGGGTTGTTATTATTTTCGTATTCCTACAATATTCCATACCGCATACATATATTTCTTCATTTTATCTTTAACTAGATTCTTGTCTGAAATGTCAGTTTTTTTCCATTTTATTCTTTTTGAAAAATTTTTCAGAACACAAAATCATTCTTGTTCTGTACAGGGTGTTCCTAAAAGAATGGTGGGATTTCATTGCCGTATATCTCCATCAATTTTTGCAGATGAAAAGCAAAACATATACGGATTCATAACATGGCTCTCAAATTTTCATTTTGTATATCACACTCTTTCCTAGTTCCATTTCCGACAGTTAGGCAAACGATGGATTGGACGTGCTGCAGGTGAAGATGCTCCCTTTCTCCAGTGGCCACCCTGGTCCGCGGGCATAACTCCATGTGATTTCTTCTTGTGGGGGTACGTGAAGGACGTGGTTTATGTATCCCCATTGACCCAATCGCTCCAGGATCTCCGAAACAATCAATCGTGCTGTGGAGACAATCACACCTGAAATGCTGCAGCGGGTGTGGCAGGAATTCGACTTTCGCATTGATGGGTGCCGGGTAACAAAAGGTGCATACACAGAGGCACTTTGATGGATGCACATAAAATTTGGACAGTTAAGCTTCCGATTGACGCATGTTATGATTGTACACGGTAAGAAATACAAAATATATACGTATCTGAAACCCCACCATTCTTTTAGGAACATCCAGTATAAAGGCAATAATTTCTGTTCACAGCAGTAAACGGGTTAAAATACAAATCATCTGGAATGATTTCAATGTATCAGCTTCCATCAACAATAAGGATAAATTAAAACTTCTTAATTTGAAACTGACCTCTATCTGAGATACCTATTTTCCTTCAAATGCTTCTTCATTGCATGTATTAACATGAATAATAAATCAATAATTATGCAATTTACTGATCTATCTGTGTGAGTATCTTCCACCAGTACAAATTATAATTACAATAAATGTGTTGATATAACCTTAAACCTTTGCACTGTTATTATGTTTGTAACTGTAAGCATATTCAAAATGTTTCATATAGAACTTGTAGTTAAGTTTATCTCCACACAAAATCTTACAGGTTTAGGTCCAGCTGCTCATTTCTTATTGCCATGAAATTAAAAGATAAATATAAATTTCATATGACCAACATGTTATATACATTTCATCATAATTTTCCTTAAGAAAAGTTGTATATTTTTGAAGCACAATTACCACAGAAAATTTTAAGACCCCTTATGATGTGAAAGGGAGACCATCAGTAATGGCATGATGTTCATATTAGGTTTTGTGAAAATGTATCACTTGTTTAAAAAGTCAGTGGGAGTGGTAGACATGCAATATAAAAGTATTCACTTCAGTGATCTATTCATGTGCATAATTTCCAATAAAATAAAATACCCTCAAAGTTTTTGTACCACTATTATATTTATGATTTTCAACCTACCAAAATGTTGTTCTAAGGTCATATAATAGCAATGCTCCTACAAAACTTACACCCTGTCTATTTCCTATCTTCATAACAACTTCTAAATTCTCAGTCTCAACAGTTTATCAGTTATTGCTGTAAAATGGAAAGCTGCTAAATGGAAATTTCCCAGGATGCTAAACACTGTTCTACATTCCATTAAAAACAAGCTCAATATACACTGCACATTCTTTTAATATTCATCATTGTGAACAGCAGGAGACCACATTAAATTGTGCTACTGTTGCTTTAACTTCAGAAATATGCAGAGGAGCCACACTGATGTCATCTGTAGCTGGGAATTATAAAATGCAATGGTCAGGTGACCCCCAATTACATGACATCCACATCAACACATAACATGAAAATCCATCTTGCATGCACACATGCACACACAAAATGGGATCTCCAGTATAGGAAGAAATAACAATCAACGTCAGAAGCAACAAACTTGACAAAAATTTTCGCTTATCTAGTATTTAAAGTGTTTTTCATGAAGTGAAACATTTTATGGTTAATTATTTTTTATTTAAAAAATATGTTTGATTTTGGAAATTTGATAGAAATATAATTCATATGAGTATTTAAGTATATGAATTTGCTTAAATTCATAGAAAATGAATAGAACTGAATTGGCTAACATACATGCAATATATGCATTTACCAATCAAGCCCCTTAAAATAAATTCCGTAATCTTCAATTAAGTGTGGCTTTGTAGTATAATATTATACAAAATGTAATTTTATTATTGAGAGTTCTACCAAGCAACCAGATGATATTATGTTTGAACAATGCCTTGGATGATGTAAAGCTATGTAAATAATTATTACACATCATTTTTTTTAAACATATATGAACAGACTGTGCAAAAACTGTTAAGAATAAAGGAGAAAAAACATTGCACTTTCATTGCATAAAATTAGAGCAGACATATATTCCTTAAATATACTAGCCTATATTAAATCTAAGAAAATGCCAAATCTGCGAGTTCATTATTAGTAGCCATTAAGAGAGTGCTAAAGGAATACAAATTTGATTTATATCTTTATTGGAAGTATGGAATGAGCATTTAACTTCATTTCTTGATAGAACACACAAAAGAATAAAATATGTACATTCATACATTGCATTCATAAGAAGAATAAAATTATAACTATAAATTAATAAGAATAATGCATACATCACTTCAAATGCTGCAAAGATTCTGAACTAGAACTATTCATATGGTAAGTGTGTAGTAATTCTGGCAAACTACTGAAGTTTAAAATATAAAAATAAATAGTATATATATATATATATAATTTAAGAAAGTATTCATAACACACTAGCCATTTGGAAAATGAACAGCTAACATCTCATCAAAATTTCAGAATTACCATGTCTTTTGAAGTTGAGTTTTTATTTCTTTGTGAGTTCTATCAATAAAAAAAAATGTTTAAAAAATATCATCATAAGAGTTAAATTCATCTCTGGAATTTAAAACCCAACTACCAGATTTTCTTAAGTATCACTGCCCAGTGGTACCTTCCATTGTAACCTCTTACCAACTTCATACAATTCTTTCAAAGCAGAAGTCACATTGCCTTTACGTTCCAATTGCTGATAATGCTGATATAATTGAAGAGCTGTACGAGCATCCTCAATTGAATCATGAGTGACTGATTGAATTGTTATTCCTAGAAGAAAATAACTTGCATTACATACACTCTTCAGACTAACATTCATATGCAAGCATATATATAACACTAATTAACCAATCAGCCCTTTGATTCAGGTGGTCTTTCTTGAGAAGTTTACAGCTGATAAATGGTGAAGAAGTTACACACTTTTAAGCAACTCGAATATTCATTACCACATTTGCAAAATCCCATTGAGTCAACTGATTTCACTCCACACAACCACAGTATATTTCCTTATGATCCACTTTCATATTGTCATGGGTTAGTGACTAGACACAGGCTTTGCAATTACAACTAAATTCACTGGATATTCATTATCCTTAACTACAGATAATTTCAACACTTTCACTGCTCTTCATGATCTACAATTGAGTGCTATATCATTTCAGGTATTAACAGAGTCATTAAATGAACCACAAATAAATAAAACAAAAGAAGATACTTCATATCATAATCACATGTTTAGAATTCTCATCACTAAGCATAACTGAAAATAAAATGCACCTTCTTACAAGATGTAAAGAAGGGGAGGGGAAGTACAGTAATCCTTTATAAAGAAATGAAGCACAGAGTGATTGCAAGAAACACATGTAATTATTGAACTGATGTAATCACAAACCACACAAACATACATTTCTAAGGAACACTTACCCAGAAAGTGCCATGCTAGAAAGCGGAGGGAAACCATGCGATGGTGTGGCAGATGGAAAAGAAGAACTGTGTCAATTACTTGGTCTGCGGGAACCACTAAATTGATCACTCTGCGAAACAGAACATGTAACATGTCAACATGTCAAATTTGATGGTCTATGATGAAGTATCACGAAGCAGAGGAGTATTCAGGGCGTCTGCATTGTTTTAATTATGTGCACATATTGTGTGGCAGTTTTCCCCACATAAGTGCTGTATGTTGTATTTTCTTTTTGATGTCATGCATGACGGTGGTAAAGTTTTTGTGTATACTGTACTGTGTTCTGTACAGGCTACCATGTCTTCTTGCTATTAAACAGTGGTTGTTCCTCTTCTGTGGTTCTGTTTGTACTCCAGTTGGATCAAAACACGTAGCAAAATGTACAAATAAACATATTAATATAGTACTATTTGATTAGTTTATTAAGAATCTGTTGTGTTTCCTAAATAATACTGTATCCCTTGAAAATCTTTCAAGCAACATATCAATTTTGCGCAAAATGTGACTAAGGTTCCCCATACAATATCAACAATATGCATTTAAATTTAACTGCATTTGTCACAAAAACTATATACTGGCAGTAAGATTACAAAGTCTAAAAATAGAATGTTTAATTACTTTCTGAAATTTGTCTAAAATGGGGCGCATTAATTATGTGTATAAATATGGTACACTAAATCTGTTTTCCCTTTCAACTGACTTCTGCTGAAGAAGGAAACAGACTGAGTATATATTAATTAATGTCTGAACACTTCTAAAATCCTGGATATTAGTGAAGTATTACTAATTACAAATATTACAAATTAAATAAGAAAACACATGGCATTTTGGAATAAGATATTTTATCAAACTGTGTATTTTTGGCCTTTAAAATCTGCTGTTCCAAGATACTGACAAGAGACTGATTAAGTCTTTCATTCTTTATTTGCTTAACAACACACTGCTGCATGGTGCTGAATGCCAAATTTCTCATGTTATTAAAATGTTCTAATATGAATCAACATTAGAATATTTAATAGTATGATATGTATTTAATGAAACTGCCTGAATATGATCCCAAATGTGGACCAAAACATGAAGCAGTTATTAAATAAAACCAACATAAACAATTTGATTGGTTTATTTTTTATTGTTGTGTTGAAGGCCAGAATACCACAATTCAATGCACTTGCCCAAATAAAATTCTTAGGTACAATTCTCTTCAATTCTAAGGACAATGGTCTGGTAAAATGTCAAGATTTTTCCTGGATATTGTCTACTGTCTGAAGTTGAGAATATGCCTAGATTTCTGATACTGGTTGTACTTCTTTCTTCAGAGAAAAGCAACATATTCAGCTAGGCCTATTAAATAAAGCTAGTACCACAGACTCTTGTCTCCATTCTCATTCAGAAAACAGGCAGGGAGAAGAAATACCTATTTAAATGGGGCCATTAAATAAAGTTACTCCCTGTTACTGCATCAGGATTAATTTACATGGTATACAGTTCCTCTCCTTCATTATTTTCTGCAAGTCAGAGATAGTGGCGCTTGAAAGCACTGTAGGAAAAACTTAAGTCTAGAAAGCTGATACTAATGTAGCATGTAGAACTCATTGCTAAGTAATGACTCTGTAAACAAAGTTCATTGCTTGGCAACAGATTCCTAACACACACCAATACACTAACTGGGAAGAGGTGTTCTGTACACAGTCAGTGTGACACCTGCATGACACAACAGAAGAACTGCTGGAAGCAGTGTTTTCTGTGGGGTTCATTTCAAGGTGTTATAGGCAGGACAAGTCTCAGAGTTCAGTTAGTTGGGAGACAGTTGACAGCCAGTAAGGGCTTGAACATGGAAGCTGAGGAAGTTACAGTGCTGGAAACCATTATCAGATGACTGGTGAAGACAGTGAACACTGAAAAGACTTAGTGAACTGTTGAGTGTGTGAATTAGTGGCAGCACTGTAGTTACTTTCTGTAGGAGTTCAGTAAATCTGATTACCACTCCAAACCCCATATACAGTCACTCATACATGTGACAATATATTCAGAGATCCTTACATTACAATTCTTTGGCAGAAAAATATATTTTTTCCTCTCACCTTCATACAGGCACTTTCCTGAATATACAGTTTCTAGCTTCTTTCTTCTCTGAAAGTAAGATACCACACAAGAGTAAGTTGTGAGAAAAATCAGTTATTGTACCTGAAGTCATTTTTGAGGCCATGCCCAACAAACTTTACTCCATTGTCAACAAGAAAGCGAAGTTTTTGGTATGTGGCCTTGAGTGTTGTGAGGTGCTTAGAGCTGAAGTTGGCATCCAAGTCTCCTGGTTTTATGCCTGAGAACTTTGTCAAGTAGTCCACTACCTGCTCCTGTGTTGAGATGTAGTCGTCAATGAATGGCGTTCCTTCTAGTGGACCATACCTGCAAAATGTGTTCCAAGTAGAGAGAATATTACTGAAATCAGAATAGCAGTGTTATTCTCTATTCATAGTGCTTCAAGTAGGATTGAGTAAGGCAGAATGCCAAGTGTCTTATTTTTCTGTCATTATAGATACTCTGCTTTAATACTTTTAACATTAATACTAAATAGGCACAGAAATGGGAACATGTATTAGCAAATCCTAGGGATGAGATTAATTATGTCATCCAATTACAAAACAGTGCTATGTTCAGGATTCTTCAGGTTGTTTACATCTGTAACTAATGGATGGATTATTTTAGTGGCCATATAAAATAAAATCAGTTTGGTATGACTACCGCAGTTCCAAAAGGTGTGAATTTTTACACAGATATGTCTTCAAGGGGTGCAGACAAGGACACCACTCAAGTTATCATGCTGAAAACTTATATGAAATTTTGCACATTAACAGTACCTGCTCAGTAACGATTATATGCAAAACTTTAGATGCTGATATGCAATTAAGCAAGTTAGGAAATATATCTGTAGCATACCAATTCTGATATGTTCCTTCCATTTTGTTTAATTACTTTGAAAACAGTAAGACTTGCTGAAAAAGTGTTCTGGGCATAAAATGCACGTTTCATTTTCTGCTTGTCTGAAACAGTTTTCACTCTAATAAATGTTTAGTGAACTGTGTCTGAGAAGCATGCAGAAATGCAAGCAGGTCTCCATATAGCATTCATTTTACACATCAGAATTTGCTGATAAAGTTTAGCAAACCTCCAGAATATCAAATTTCATTAAAATCCATTCAGTTGCTCTTGAGCTTCTATAATTTTTCATAAAAATCACGATTAAAGTTCCCTGTACCATGTTGCCATAAGGCATTTAACTTTAATCATATTTTCTATGAAAATTATGCATCAGCTGGAGTTTCATAAAGTGTTAAAATAAGGTATGTACTTAATTTTTTCAGAAATTTCTCATTTAGAAGAAGGAGTGTGTAAATTACGCAGAGGTATGAATTATACAAGTAAATATGTGGCTTGGATGGGATGATAAAAAATGCACACAGATTTTCACAGGGTCACCTCTTGGAGGACCAAGAATGGGGCAATGGGTAGTGGACAGCATTAACTGAGAATCACCAACATTTGGTACTAACACTGTCAAAGCTTCAGCTTCTACTACCATATAGTCAGTTTCATGTAGAGAAAATATATTCATGTTCCTGCATTTCAAAAGGACTTACATATTCATCTGAAAAAAGAAATCATTATTTAGCAGTTTGCAAAAGATTTTTACTACATTCAGTGATTACAACATTTACTTGTACTGGAGTGAAAACATATTTTAAAAGAAATAATCTGCAAGGTATGAAATGTATTATACTTTCTGGTGCATTTGAGAAAATGTGAGGTCAAAAATGACATCTTTATACACTCACCCACGTATGCAAGTGATACGAGCTACAGACATATGTGATGGCTTGATAGTTGACAATTTGCCATCACTACGAAGTTCAGCCTCTTCTTGGTTTAGGGTAACAAATTCTGCATCCATTGCTACTATGTCACCTGTAACAGACCAATTTAATACCAGTGAAAACAAGTGTTTGATCCTTAAGAAGAAAATGGTAGACTTTCTTGATTATTACAGCATTGTATCCAGGTCTCTTGATAATACAACACAGATCTCCTAGTATATTAACAGTTAACTTGTACAGATGTTCAATCCTGAATCAGGTCTGGCTACAGCTCCTTCTGTACATATATATAAGCTTCTTTTTTTTGGGGGGGGGATACAAAGGCCTTGTCAATTCATAATATGGAAATAATTTCTAGGATGCAGCCTGTGAGGAAGTGAACAGAATTAGCTTAGAACAGGTCTCTGTTGTGGACCCTTTATATCATGATGACAAACCTTCAGGTACCATAACATGAGTTTCTTGATCAGCTGAATAACTTTGAATGGCCTAAATATACCAAGAGCCACAGAGTTATTTAATTAGTTTATTAACCAGTTAGAAGAATTCTAGACTTTGTGAGGTTGGATTAAAGAGGCTATTGTGTACTTACCTTGCCCCGGCATTTCATCTGCTGCCAGGGGTGTGAATGTGATCATTCTTCTGGCCCCATTATTACGTGCTAGACACTTGTCTTCAAAAAAGACGTCTACTGTGAGAGGATTCTGAACTTTAGATACCACATTCTCGGGCATGTCCCGGTTTACCCAGTACAGGACACAGGGTATTTTCCAGTCCAAACTGAACCAATTCACCTCATGGGCAGGAACAGGTGAGATGCTGCAGCGAGTAGAAAACGAAGACTCTTAAACATATCATTTTATAAGCCTCATAATGAGAATATACCTACAATTCTGTGCCATGTTCCTTTATATGCTTGAAGAGATGGAAGTACACGGTTTTTATTTTAAGGATAAAACATACACACCAAGCATTTCATAATAAAGAGCTCAAGAACTAATTGGGATTAAGTGGAAAATCAGCATATTACATAAAAAGAAACTCTGTGACTTGTATAGATCACATGGTAGTGTTATAATAGTGAAACTGGGGAAGGTATGATGAGCCAGACTTCTAGTTCAGATGGAGAGCCACGCAATTCATACATTTTGGTAGAGAAACCTTTTAAAAAGCAGCCACTTCGAAGACCAAGATGGGTGGAACATTAAGGTGGATCTTCAGGAAAAGGACTGAGAGACAGGAAGGTGGCTGAAACTGACTCAGGATCATGTTCAATAGCAGGATTTGACAGTAGCACTGTTTAATCTTTGTGTTCTACTACCAATATCATAGTTTAGCCAGTTCTGTTTAATTGGAATACCCACAACAGGGAAGATATGTGACATATTCATGATACTATGAGGTTACGTTGAATACAGGATATGGATAGGTCTGCAATTAGAGGTCTAGGGGACCTAGTCACCAGGGGTAAGAAACTGAACTCTTGTAATGCACGTTACATGTGTTTCTTTGCATAAAGATCAAAGCCTGAACCTCTATTAAAGCTTATATTTTAAGAATGTGGAGAATACCGAATCTCCACATTGGTTCAGAGCTTATATTATGCTGTCGATCCCATCCGCCGGCTTCTCAGAACCACCACATCACAGGGGGTGGACTCTGCCCTCTGGGGCTCTTACTTCAAAGCTGAATTCCTTCACTGTGGGAGGCAGCAGAAGCTAAGTGAGGTATATAAGTTTAACTACAAGCATCTGTCATAACAAACACAAATTTTGGGGAGTTCAGTTCAGCACTCATATGTACATTAAGGCTAATCTATGCTGCAAATGTCATATGACAGTGATTCTAGTGATGAAACGCCTATATCTGAATTTAACTTACAGTACTGAGGTATGAAGTTAGCTGGGACAGCTCAGTCAGTATAGAGACTAGGCTATGGGATGGACAAACAAGAAGTAGGGGCTCAATTTTTGGTAGGGGTAAGAGATTTTTCTCTTTTCCACAATGTCCATACCTGCTCTGAAAATCACCCAGCCCCTATACAATAGACACCAGGGGCTGTTTCCCCAGGGGTAAAGTGGTTGGGATGTGAAACTGAAAACTCACCTCCATCCAGAACTGAGGTTAAGACTGGTGGAGCTATACCCCACTCACCTATACATCTTCATGGCATGGTGCTTAATTATTTAAGCCTAGAGATACCTTTACCTTACCAAGGTATCATTATGATTTCAACACATTAACAGGTCCACATGAAATTAACAAATCAGATCAACTACAACCTTCCATATAACCGACCTGAAGTCATTGAAGATGTACCACTGGCTGACAGGTGAGCCCTTGGACCTGGCATGATAGCTGGGTCCCACATTGATAAGTGCCACCAAGTTCTTCTTTTCATGCTGATGTGGACAATCGATGTAGCACACAATGGCAGCTAAGTCATAACTGATGGCTTGTGTCACATCCTCAGACACAGTGACCTGAAAAGAGATATCTCTGGTTGAAGACTGGTCCAGCAACAGAAAATTCAATTAATGACAAGGAAATTTTGACATAAAATATAAATAAACACAGTGAAATCCCCATTTAATGAATATTTGGGGGCCTGGCTTTCTTTTACACAAAAGCAAACAGGAGTTATACAAAATCACATCAAGAAACTATTCATCTTCTTATAAGAATTGCAGTACATAACCATGAAAAAATATTTTTTCTATATAAGAAGTTCAAATACTGAAAGAACCTCAGTTAACAATCACAGCAACTATACAAGGAAACTGGGCAGAATACTACTATCATCAAGGGTTTTAAAATCCTGCATTAAAAACTGATCTGCAATACCGATGTGAATTTTTAAGTATATTCTAATGGGTTCTGACAATGGTGGATGAAACACAGAATTACTGGGTTTTCACACTTTTTCCATCATCCAGAATTCTAGGTAATAGAGGAAACTGGATCTGTTTCCGTCTTCAGGTGAGAAAGGAAGACACCTACTCAGTTGGGCCCCTTTGAAAGAGCTAATCTCACAGATCCAGTCTCCAAAACGTGTCTTCTATTACATAGAATTCCGGACGATGGAAAAAGTCCAAACACCCAGTTATTCTGTGAATTTTTAACTTCTAGGTTCTAAAACTCTTTATAGTTACATGCTTCTCTCTATGAATGGATCTGTTGTTTGCATTCAACTTATGTTAATCAATGTCAAAGAACAAGAAGAGGTGTATTTCTAAGTGTAGACTGCCATATTTTCATATGACAAATGCAGTCTAGGTTCATTCTGTAGTGCAGTACATGACAGAAGAATCAAGGTTCACACTCTGATAATATAAAGATACTGTTATCATTGAAACTGTGAAAGGGTTGCATTCTTATGAATCTGAAATTACTAAAGGGAAAATATTGAATTTGTCAGCATTAGCAATGCAGAATGTTACAAAATTGCTTCTCTTCAACCATATGCAGAGGCAAGAACTGATTCTTCATCATTCTAATGACAATGAGCATCTTACAATTATCAGAATTAAAACAAATGTTTGGTCTACTGCAGAATACTCTCATTCCCATCTCAATTCTCAAAATTTTTCCAAAGCCTTGTCTCAAGGTGAAACAGTCATTCTTGTATGCACCTACTTTACACCCTATGAAATAGGGTAATAAGTGGCCTAATATATAAAGTGTTAAAAGAAAACTGGCATGGAAGGTGTAAATACAATTATGAATTACACTACCAATTCTTTTCTTCCTTTTCCATGCCTACTGTTCCATTATTGTGCACAATAAACATGCAACTTACAAATTCAAAGTAAAAATTGGGATTAAGTCTAATACTCACTCCATCTGATGATTCCATATCTGCTGGTGGTATTTTCCTGATATTAACTCCTCCCTTCCTTAACAGCTCTATCCGAATATGCATAGGAAGCCACGAATGTGTATTATACAGAAGACCTGTATTTGTAGTACTGTTTTCTGAAAAGAAGTATGTGTTTCTTATACAACTACATTTTAAACTTGAAATAACTGGTGTACATGAACATTTCTTTACTTACAGGGGACACAACAAACATTCTTAGTAGTTCTAAATGTTTGGACAATGGTCTGATAACATGATGTAAAGATGTTATCTGGACATTGTACATTGTTTAGAGCTGAGACTGTGTCTATACTATTCTGGAGGTCCAGTAACAAGGACCACCTTTGCTTAATGGGCTGAGTTGAGTAGGCATTCTCTTCTCTCTCCTAGTTTCTAAACCAAAGATGAATACCGAGCCAGTCTCCAAATAGTTACAGATATAATATCAAACAATGACAATGGACAATTTTTGCGGAACACCCTTATACCATCAAACATTTTCTGCTTAATGGTTCAAATGGTAAAGACAAACAACTGAAACTCTTATTTGCATGACAGTAATGATCTTCTGCGAAGACATCAGCAGAACTTCTGTGACTTGACACTATATTTTAAAATACCTTGATAGGTAGCAGATACCATATATTCAGTGGCAAAGAAATGTTGGTTTACATCTCCACTCAAACAAAATCGTTACTTTCTGGGAGTTTTTAAGAAAATTACAAGTTGACTCAGCTAAGATCTGATCCTATACCCACTGGCACATGAGTCCAGTGAACCAGCCCATGAGTTAAACTAAATTTTATTGTTGGACCGTGAATTTACATCATTTAAATAAGACATTAATAATACAAGATTTGTAGAGGCGGAAATCTGTGCAATATGGGAGTTAAGATTTATGAATTCAGCCCAGAACTTCTGGCTGACCTTGCACTGTTAAGTCTGTTTCAATTATTGGCAGTANATTACCTTGATGAACTCTGTCAAACATCTGAAAAATCATGTCCCACAGAAATGGTGGGTTTAGTTAACAGTTTCAGAAGTAAAACAAAATAAACTTAAAAATGTCTGAAAAACCATACATTGTGACCTAAAAGGGTTAATTAATTGGAAATGAATTTTCATACAGGAAATTTTTGCTTAACCAACAACCTTCAATGAACACACACTTTTAAAAAAAAATGATATAGGCACACAGCCATAATATGAAGACAAACAATACTGTAAAATCAATATAATACAAAATTAGTTTCTTTGCATAGTACCACACCCTTTATGGAGCATACTCAGACCAGGAACATGCCAGATTGAGGGATATTCTAGATTTTGGGTCTTCCAGTATAACAAATACTATGTATTTATTAAATCTTCATCCAAGTATGCTTCTATATTATTGTGATTACCTGAAACTTTGTCACAGTATTCTCTAGTAAGATCTATGGCAAATAAATCTGTTTCACCGTCTTCCAAGATATATCTTTTGTAAACTTGTATTTCATCTTAAATACAACCTATTAGCCACACACCTTCTTCTTCACTACACGTCTTGGCCATATATGGCCATCATCAGGTGTTGCCTATCTTGCTAAAATTACTGCACTGAATGTCAAAGTTACATATATCACATGTGAACGTGACAATTCCCAAACAAAATAAAATAATCTTGGAATTAAAATTAATTAAGTGTAATTTCAAGCATAACTATTAATTAACTTTATTTCCAAGCTTAATTCATTTTAATTAGGAAATATCACGTTTTCACATATATAGAGACAAAGAAGGGTGATTAAATAATAAGGTGCATTTAAGACCAAAATATATGTGTACAAAAGATATAATAATGCAATAGGAAGCTTAAATACAATATTCTAATATAAATGCCAAGTACATATGTTTCATCATCTTGTAGGATGTATACCAAATAAATCTGTTTCACCCTCTTAATGGGTGGAGCCAGGGTAGCGTAGTTGGTATAGCGATTGGCTATGGGCTGGATGACAGAGGGATCAGAGTTCAAGTCCCGGTAGGATCAAGAATTTTCTCTTCTCCAAATAGTCCAGACCAGCACTGGGGTCCCCTCAACCTCCTATCCAATGGGTCCTGGGGGATATTTCCCCAGGGTCAACTCACCTTCAGCTAGTGCTGAGGTCAAAAAAATGTGTTATCTGTTATTTGAGGTGTGGGGAGAGAGACTATAGCCTAGGGCAGACCTATTGTATCATCTGCAGATGACACATAATACAGAATACTGGTGAAATAAGTGGAAAGGGAAAACTGAAGTGGCCTAGCACCACTCTGCCGAACACAAATCGCACTTGGACCAGCCTGAGACTGAACCTAGACCTGGAACGTGAGAAGCCTGACCTATGGCACTGCCTTCTTGAAGCATTCATAACTCCCACTTCCTCATAGTACTGACCAAAAATTAGTTCCTCTTCCCACATCTGCCAACAAATGAGACATAATACTGCATTTTGGACACGACTATAAGATCAGGGCAAAAAGCACTAGCACCCAATTAAAGTAAGCAGTCTAAAAACTAAGGAATGAGCTGTTTCATAAAGCAGCCCAGGTATGTTTATTATAATAATAAACAGAAATTCATACAAAGATATAAATATAAGAGACAAACTGACAGTTTCAAGTAAATTAATTCACAAAATTGTAAAAATATCCGAAATAACAATTACCTCCTATCCTGCCAGGGTGCTTAAATCGACAACCTGGTCTAGAACAGCTGGAAGCATATCGACATGGTTTACTTGTTGAACCACCGGCACCTTGGAAGCCAGTCTGGTCTAATACTTTCTGGACAACCTGGTCCATCTGTGTTTGCCAGAAGCACTTATTCTGCAGAAAAGAAGTACAGTCTCAATAGAGTAAGATTGACACTAATGGAATATACTACAGGTTTAATGCGTAATAAATGCTGGCAGTCAACATGCTCTCATTTGTGCAGATGTACTTGTGTTTGCTTTAAAAAGAAGAAGAGGCTCAACTGTACTCTCAAATTCAATTTTGACATCTAAATACTTCAACGAAAAAACAATTTTATAAAGATTCTGTTATCCTGCACTACTCAATTTTGGCTGGCAGCTAAGGTAATGATACTGTACAAAACAGGGAGAGAGTTTATAATTGAATAACATGAGATGAAGGTATTTATCTGAAGAAACTTATAAAAACCATGAAAATATAAGTGAGCACAGCCAGTGTCTCAAACAAGATTTGGACCAGATACAGCTGCCGAAAAAAATAAAATCTACATTCAACTGGGAACCAATAAACTGACATTAAATTGTATGGCTAACATAAGATGAAAGTGATTAAACTGAGAACTTAATTCAGATCTTCACTTTCATAAGCAACACTGACTGATTCAAATTAAACTTACGATGGTGTGATTTGGACTGTTACAGAGCTCTTAACTATATATGGGACATATATTTTCGTAACCTCATTATTATAAATTCTTAGGACAAACTGCATAAGTTTAATGCAATATGACATTTGTTCATCCATTTAAATGTTTCATCTCCAAAATTACTCAGCGGATGAAGCTGTGTATTGGAAGTCTTCACTAAAAGCTGTTAAGTGAAATAATTTTGGTGAACACTGAAACCCTGCTTCAAATTGGGCTCAGGCTCCATCAATTTCCTCAATGACGGTTCACTGTGAAAAATACTGATGCATGACATAAAACATCACAATCTATTAAGACACTGGTCCTCATGTATTCGCTTTATTGTGATAGTCCTTACAGAACACAACACTGGACAGTCCAACATCACATTTCTCCAAATTTTTATATAAGTAAATATGTTGGGGTGTGATGATAAACCGCTGTACTGATAATTTTTATAAGAAATTATATATTCACTATATTATGGTTAGAACATGGCAGTACATTAAATAAATCATAAATGTTCATAATTTGTTCTGACATGTGTCTTTCATATTTTTGTTGTTAACTGTATACCACTTACTCTTCCACTCTGATACACATATTAGTCTTAGGTGGCCAGGATCCAGCACTGTTTGCTGACAACAGAAGACCTCATGAGAGGATCCAAGATTCTTTGAAACAAAACCAGCATATATTCTACTATTATGTTATTCAGCAAGACTGTTCTTAGGCACCTACTGCTTGATTACTGTAGAGTTGCTCGACATCCTCTGTAAACAAGACTTGAAGAATGGCAAAGTAGCTCTCTCTTCGCAAGTTGTTTTATTGCCTGTATACTCCCCCACATTCAGTTTTACTTACACACACATGTAATTCTTAGCGGCTAGGTTGTGAATCTATTTCCACTGTATTTTGTATGATGTGGGGATTCATTGTGCTAACCACGCGGCACCCTCTATCCACTAAAGTTGCTACTAACTTCACCGACAAGCGGCGGTCGCTTGGTCAGTATAGTTCACTTGTGGACTAAAACCATGGAGTTTATTTGTGTTTGTTTTGCATAATGTACTGTTCAAGCCTCATGACCATAATAAGTTGTTACTGACAACAACATGGATACTGTACAGTTCCATTGCTACAAAATTGTTTCTGAATTTTCCTGTACATTTTTTCAGTTTTCTTAGAGCTGTGCTCTTCACTGATCTGACAACTGCAAACAGTACTGGCCAAATATTTATAATTTTATTTTCTTTTATTGCCCACTACATATGTCAGTTTACATCATGGATAAATCCATTCGAAGGCATATTTTAGCAAGCAATGTTAAGAGAAAAAGTGAAAGTAATAAGCCAGGAAAAAGAAACCAAAAGTAATGTGTCAGCAATATAATCATAATTATTTGTCTTTCTATTTTCTCTGGCATGGTGATGAATGCAACAAGTCCAATTCCTGAGTGTCCTCAGTGCAGAGGAAGACTTAGTACAATACTATGGTTACAAGCAAGATGAAGTGACATTCTACAACAAAGCATTCCCCTCTGGTTTTCAAGAATATAACTTATTTTATTGTAATGCTGCAACAAAAACAAAACAAGGAAAGTTTATGATTTCATAAGTATGAACTTCCAAAGAAGCCCACGTACATCGTTATAAAGTAGCTAAACTTATCACATAAGCAAGATCCACATATGATAGCTGAAACATTATTAATGCCTGCCTGCAAGATATGGTGAAAATCATTCTCAGTCTGGAAGCTGAAGTGAGATTTGTAAGCTGTTCTATCAGCTGACACTATTAGTCTCCAAGACAGCGATATGTTGAGTGATATCAAAATAATTTTGAGGGGAAAAAAGTAGTATCAGCACAAAATTCTCCTTTCAGATCAAGCAATGAAGTTCCATGACAATGAGAAAACCTCTAGAAAACCGTAAGCTTAAAGGATTGTTTCAAAATAATAATTAAGTGACTTTCAGGGTTGAATGCAACATTAATAATGGGGATTTCTAGAATTTTTGATTATCCATTGTTCTTAAATATTCATGTCATTTGTTCCCTTCAGTATTGCAGATAAATGATAGTTCACTGTACAGAAGAACACCGCAAAATAAAGTGGCTCATGTTCTGTTTACAGCTCCATAAATTAGTACATAGATAGTGTTTAAAATAATTTGCCTGCTGTCCTCAGGACCGTGAATTTAAATGGCAGCGACGAGGGTTCATAATACTATCATGGTTATGAAAATATCAGACCAATAAATATCTTAACCTGCTGACTGTCCAGACCACAGTTCATGGCTAGGATGTCTGGCAGAACTTTTAACTGACGAGACTGCAAAGTTGGCTGATACTTATCACAGCAGTCACACCATGCTGGAGTAGTCTGCTCTGGGCACAAACTTTGTAGTAGCACATCACAGAAACTAAATTCCACTTTACCTAGAACATAAGACATATCTCTAAATACAAAGAACAGCATTGAACACACAATCAAATTAATACTTACCAGTGAGTTCAAATTATAATCTTCTCACTTTTATCATACAAATTCATAAATCAATATCCATGACAAAACTGTATAATGTTTACTGATTGTTTAATGTCTCCAATAAAAATGCAGGATGCCACAGAATGCTGTCAGCAGTGCTGCAAATTGGAGTTACAAGGTCTGACAATAAAGTTAGAGAACTCACCATTGTGTTACATTTTAGCATCCAATTTCATTGAGGCATCATCCTTATTAACAAAGTATCCATCAATAATGCAACATATTGCATGTCAAGGTACACACATGACAGTTCTGCCCAAGAAAAATAATTTCTAAATAATGATCTCCTGCATCAATAGACTGGTTGATGTGGACCAGACTTCATAGCAGTGAAATAGGTACTTTTATGATTTATATAAAGAAAGAAGTGTTCCTGCTATCCTTACCAAGAAATGCGATGAATTGACATGTTATACTACATGTTGGAAGAAACTGAATGTCAACAGGATGTGTTGCTTCACAACTGGGAGCCACAGTGAAATGTTTCACAGCAACTAGAACCTACCATGTCTAGTCATATTATGGTGATATTTTTGGTTTTTATGCAATTTAGCAATTCAATATTATGTTCACACAAGGCCAACAACGGACATTACACTGAGATGCAAGACTACAGTCCATGACCTCACACCATATTTCCTCAGTCTTATGTGCAAATGATTATAGATATTGAATTAAATTTGTACAAGTCCTGAATGTTATAAAGTTTACTTGTGTCCATCATGCATAATTGCTGAGCTCAAGCAAAATGCAAAGTTTTGTTTATTGGATGTAAACTCATACCTGCAGTAATGTCTGGATATATGAGGTTACACAGTAGAACTATGGACTCCTTGCTAACTTCACGACCACATTTTAGACATCTATGTACATGAATCTGTTTCATCCCAAAGAGATGGCTAATTTCAGTTTCCTCATCTTGTGCTTCCTTTCCAGTGCTGCTCTCTCCTTTTTCTTGTTTCTCACCTTTCCCATACAACAGAAAGAAATCAACTTCATATTTCCACAGACTTCAGTCAAAGGCATGCATGAAAGTTATTTTAGAAACAGGCATTATGTTAATCACACTGTATTTCTTCCTAATTTGCATAAGAGGTGTGTGGAAGTAGGAGGAATTAAAACACATTCCATCTTGTGCTTCAAGTTTATGAGCAGATGCTCACAGGCTTGGAATTCAGGTCAGTAATTTTACTACTTTCAATTAAAAATATGTTATATGCAGGATATTATTATTGCTATTATTATTACTATTGCCGCTATTGTTATAGTTATCATCTTCATCTTTTGAAAAGAAGTTACTACTTAAGTACAGATTGTGAAATAACCTCAAAGTCTTGCACTAAAGTGAAAGTAAAATAAATACGTAGGTCGTACTGAAAGTCATGAGCAACAATTTTTTGTAAAGTAACATGCTTTATTATTGACAAACCAGATACATCGCCTCAATCTACAGACCTTTCTTTATTTTTCCACATAATCACCACTTCTTTGTACAAATTTCTCTCAGCGTTCTGGGAGTTTGAAAATTCCTCCTTCTGTAAAATTCCGTTCCAGCCATCCGAAGACACTGACACACTGCTTTCAGCGAGCTTATGGAAGTGTGTGCATAGGTGCGAGCAGTGTTCGAAGATGGGTGAAACATTTTAAAGATGGGAACACCAGCATCGAAGATGAGCCTCAGAGCGGTCGTCCTCGAACAGCCTCAACTGAACGCAACAAGGAAAGAGTGGATGGGATCATTCAAGATGACAGGTGTGTGACTGTAGACACAATAGCTCGAAAACTTGGAACAGGGCACAGTGCAGTACAGGAAATGATTGAAAGCTTGGGCTACAGGAAAGTTTGTGTTCGTTGGGTCCCGTGGTTATTGACCAAAGACCACAAAGGTCACATTGGAAGCAATTGCAAAGATGGGGTGGGAAGTTCTTCCACACCCCTCCTATAGCCCTGATCTGGCACCCTCTGACTACCATCTTTTCGGATTTGTGAAGGATCAGCTGCGTGGACAACGTTTTGAGACGAGGGAGGCAATTCAGTAAGCAGTGTGTCAGTGTCTTCGGATGGCTGCAACAGAATTTTACAGAAGGAAATTTTCAAACTCCCAGAACTCTGGGAGAAATGTGTACAAAGAAGTGGCAATTATGTGGAAGAATAAAGAAAGTCTGTAGATTGAGGTGGTGTATTTGGTTTGTCAATAATGAAGCATGTTACTTTACAAAAAAATGTTGCTCATGACTTTCAGTACGACCCTCGTATTTTTGCATGGCCACTATGATATTTTATATCCCACAGAAAAATTACTTTAACAAAAGTTGCATATATTTTTTTAATATATTACCATATATAATTTGAGGACTCTACATTAAGTCACCCTCACCTAATAACTTTATAGGAAAGAAAGAGGAGGCTGTAAGCTAAATATACTGTTTTGCAAGTAGGAACTATTTTCGTTGCTTGTTTCCTTTTAGAGGTGAAGTACTTTGTGTCAAACATCACTGAATTTTTTGCAAAAACACTCACTGGGTAAGTCAAATGGTCAATGACTTGTTATTAAACAACAGGGAAAATCAAACAGGAACTGATTTCATATAACATAATTCTTAACCGTAAACATTTCATGTGGATGATCATGTATTTTCTTATTTTAATACCATATAAGTACATTAAATTCATATTGTAAATGAAAATGTTGTTACATGCTACTAATAAACAGAACTGCAGACTAGTATTTATACTGTATAAAGTGAAACAGATAGGGTACCAGTCCTAAGAAAACCCAATACTGTCTTGCCAATCCATGAATCTGACAAAATGATGGGAGCTGCTGGTGTACCTCACAGAATTAGAAAAGTCTGTTCTAAACACAAGGCACAATATTCAATTCTTTCTATGTAGGCATAGTGAAGTTTTCTAAACAGTAATGTTCCCTACTCAGGCTTCATTCAGATACTGGTTCAAAAGTAGGGCCCCAAATGAGAACTGCCATTATAATATTATGCTGATTGTTGAAGCCAACTGAACACCTCAGAGACAGTGACAAGTAAGCACAGAGTACTGGAAGAATAATGATGGTAAGAAAATAAAACTGTCCCAGTGTCACCGAACTGCACTGAGGTTGAAACCAGGCATCTGCAGTGAGAAGTCTGTATCAAACCACTTCATCTACAGCACAGCCACGGTCACATGTTTAATACAGAACAACTGTGTCATTCACTGTACTAAGTTCTGTTGTCAGATCTACAATTTCAGCATGCATTAAGTATTATTGTCTTGCATGCTGATGACAGTAATGAAAATGGATATTGCTTTGTAGAGAAAAACTGGTTATGTAATGTTTTTATTGGTGGTGGTGGTAATAGTAGAAGTCATATACCTGTTTTAAAGTTTTAAAGAAGCAAAGAGCAACAACAGCATATAGCATTTAAGAACCATTTGGGATACAAAGTAGCTGGAAGCATTACTAAGAAAATATTTGATCTGAATATGCAAAACATAAAGGAACAAACACATCATAATTTGGCATGATTAAAAAATCAATAAAATATACCAACACTGAAAATTAATATCCAAATCAGTAACTGCAAACCAATGAACATTTAACACACAAGTACAACACTGCTGAGCACACACACTGTGATTATCGAAACCATGCAGACAACAGACATGCATGTGTCTCCAACCATACCAAGCAGCAAAATAACTTATTTCCACTTATTTTGTTACTTCTTGGTGGGGAGGGGGGGAATTAAAAACAGAAAGTCTACTTTCACATGATTCAGCACCATTAATCATGTTCCCATACAATTATGAAGTTACACTTTTCACCCAATACCATTAGGACATTAACATCAAGGATGAGATTAGCAGGGCATGTAAAATGTATGGGACAAAAAAAATGCATACAAATTCTGGGTGGAACTGTGTGACTCGGGCACAGATTGGAGGATATTTTATTTACTTACTAATGGTTTATTTAACAATGCCTTCAGAAGCTCAAATGGTTGGATTACTAGTGAATAAGAAATTTGAATGGATGTGGCCATGGCCCAGTCTGTGGTAATATTCTAGAATTTGCTGGAGGAACTAAGAAAATTCACAAACAACTTCAGATATGACAGTCAGTATCCAGGCAAGATATGAATCAGATACCTCCCAGATACAAGTCAGAAGTGTTTTGGTCAACTTCCTCAATATGGGAGGAAAACATTAGGTCTTAAAGAAACAGGATGTGAGGATGTGGACTAGATTCATCTTTTTAAGGACAGTATCAGTGGTGGCCTTTTGTTGACATGGAAATGAACCTTGTAATTTCATAAAAGATGATCAATTTTTTAACGAGATGAGAGACTATTAGCTTCTCAAGAAGGACTTCAGTGCATAGACTTAGTTATGATGACATCCAGATATATATGGACCACCTCTACTGCAGATGTTCAGATATACCACATTTGTAAACAGTGATGAAACAGAATCAAAGTTAATAATAGTGTGACATGTTGAGCTATGGATCACCCCTACCTCCCCAGCGGTACGTGACGGTAACGTAACGCTCGCGTTACTACGGTAATAGGCGAGTTCCCGCCCCGCCACTCCCCTCCGCGGTGACGTAACGCGCAACGCTACGTACCCGTAATCAACTTCCTACTGTGACGTGGCACTCATTACGCAACCGGCAAGCACTGCAGCTATATAAGTCAGCTGCACAGCTGGTACCAGTCAGTTCTACTGTAGCAGTCGGCGACTTCAGTTGGAATGTGGGCAGCCGCCAAGTTGTAACCTGGCCATCGCCAAAGACAGTTCCGAGTTATAAAGTAACAGTCTCCGAGTGGAGCTGTAAAGTGACAGTCGCCGAGCGTGTTATCAACAGTTCTCCAGTCAGCCGACTACAGTTGGAGTATAGCAGCCGTCGCGGAAAGAAGAACCGGACGTGTGTGTGATTGTGTAATTGGGAGCATGTGACACAGCGATACATAGCTCCCCTACTATAAACGTGTAGACCACTGAAGACAGAGTGAACTGATTTGCGCATAGGGTTATAAGTCGTGAAACCCCGCAACAGTGTTAACAGATTAATGCGATTAGGGTTATAAAGTGTGAAACCCCNATGAGAGACTATTAGCTTCTCAAGAAGGACTTCAGTGCATAGACTTAGTTATGATGACATCCAGACATATATGGACCACCTCTACTGCAGATGTTCAGATATACCACATTTGTAAACAGTGATGAAACTGAATCAAAGTCAATAATAGAATAAATGAATATGAGAAGGAAGAACCCTAAGAACTGTGCTCTAGCAATGTCTACTGCAGATTTTGTAATTGTAATATAGTAACATTTAAATTCTAATCATTATATACTACAGTGTAATGTGATGTGATTATTCTCAAATTGTGTCTCCAAGGATTCTCTGGCCACAGCTGCTCTCCACACAGCTCTGATAATTGGGAGGGGGGNGGGAAATATATATACATATATATAAAACCATTAATGTTCTTCAACTGCGTGAACTTCAAAAAGTTTTGATTGGCATTATTAAGTAATGTTCCTTGTTTCTGGATTATGTTTCAACTTAATTATAAAATGCTTTCCACTGACAGTGAACCAAGGGTCTTTGAAGTTGTTTCATATCTGCATTTTCTTTTGTGGGAGAAATTTCATCTGAGTCTTCTGACACAAAAAAGGGTTCTGCAGGGGTGGAGGAAAAAAAATGTAAACTCTGTGACTGGATTACACATTACTTCAATCTGACTTCTCAAATGAGGACTGCAAACCCTTTTACAGCCTAGAGAATTAAGGATATCTTGCAGAGAATATATATTTTTGTACACTTAGACATAGGTAATTGCAGCTACTGCACAATAGGGGACTGCTTGAACAATATGACTTCAAAGCACAGTAGCCCATCTGCAAGCCATCAGTGTTGTGTTGTCCTGTCTAGACAAGAGGTTCATTGTTCTATTCTTCATGTCACACAAATAAAGTTAAAACATTCCATGTTAAGTTTTGGTAGATACTGTATCCTTCTGCCCTCATATAATAACTCACTTTCATTTGTTAAAAGTCCCAAATACTTAGTTTTAGCTATTAAAAATGACAAGAGAGGTACCTTTTCTTAACAATGTCTTAAGCCAAAGTAATTCAGGATAAGTGGCCACACCAGAGCTCAAGCAGTTAGTAGCTGGCTTCCCACCACAGTGGCCCAGGTTCAACCCCGGGTATGGTCAAGTGGGACTTGTGGTGGACAAAGTGGTGTGGGGGCGGGTTTTCTCTGAAGAATGATTATATCATGGTGAGAAGAAGTCAGTGTGTTCATCAGAAATGATGAAACCCACCTATAAAATACACAGCATCATAACTCAGAGGACCACAATACGAATCTTCGCCACTGTGAAAACCTCAAATTTCATATAGTATTCGCTTTGTTTACAGGTATAGCAGGAAGAAATCCCTAATTAGCAAAGCTGCAAGACTTCTAATAGATCAATTTTGACTCAATTTTTTTGTTCTGCCTTAGCCTGGATGCAGCATACATAACAGATATGGAGTGGTTGCAGACACATGCAACAGCAGATTATGACTTTCTAAAAAATTTCTTTAACAAGCTTAGGATTGCCATTTATTTAAAAAAAACTTACTATACATCCAGTAACTTAACTAGATTATTCAAAAGGGAAACTAGTCTGTTCTTGTCAGTGATGGAAATGGAAAAGTAACTTGCCATAAACTTTGTTTCCTAACAAATCCAATGAAGATTAATATTCACATTTCACTTTCAAAATTTAAAGAAAACTCTGCTCTGAAATTTGGGTGTCAATCTGATGCATCACAACAGTAAATTATTGTTATTGCGTGCTCTATCATGTATTAGTTCTCTGCTATGGCACAGTTAATAATACAGGAATGCATTATAATGGAAATATTCTGGAAGTCAAAAACATGAACTACAGCAAACAATATACAAGATCTGCAAGTGGAAATCAGTGCTTTGCTGTGTTCTTTTGTAAGAAAGTTGCTAATAAATTGCAAAATTCACTAAAATAGGCAACTATAACCACAGCAGTTTATTGTCCATGCATTATTTCTTAAAAATAATGTGTTCAAGTGTCCACTGTCAAAACTCAAATATTTCTCTGAAACCTTTTCCTGTACTTCTGTGTTACTCACTGCAATAAATCGCCATCAGTTCTCTTCACTTCTCTCATAATTCAGTTCTTTAGCTCATGGTTGTGTGAGGAAAAACTTTAACTAGGATTTTAAAAAATATTTTGGAATCCTTAAAGCAACAGGCTTTGTGTTCTTAGATCTTTGGATCTTAGAGAGACAGGATGGGAGTATGGATTAGATAGATGTGGCTCAGAATAGGGACCAGTGGAGGGCTCTTGTGAACACGGTGATGAACCTTCGGGTTCCATAAAATGCTGGGAAATTCTTGAGTAGCCGCAGAATTGGCGGCTCCTCAAGAAGGGCTCAGCTCCATGAGTAAGTAAGTAAGTAAGTAAGTAAGTAAGTAAGTAAGTAAGTAAGTAAGTAAAGCAACAGGTCTTCAATCATGAATTGAAAGCATTGGTTTCACATAATGGCTATATATATGTATAAAAATAATATATATAAATCTTCAGATGACCATTTTAACTTCATATATTGATATGAAAAACTACTGTTCCTTGTTTCCATCAATGACTTCTTTAAATCTGTTAAAGAACTTAGAGCTAATACATTACATGAGATGGTATCACAGCAGGCAGATGACAGGAAAAGCAGGCAACGTTCCAACAGCAGACAAACACGATGTGCATCAGCCTACTTACTGAATACAGGATGTCATTACCAAAAATAAGTACTAACACATGTCTATACATGTTATACTTCCATGCACTTCCATCACATTTAGTTTGGCAGCATGTAATGTAACCACCATTACCATGAGTGTCCTTACGTGTGAAAAATATGTACAGTACACATGCTCATTTGTGCATTATAGCAATTCTTGCTGAAAACTTTTTCTTGAGTCCTGTTTCTGGATTATGGCATTGTAATGATGTACATTGTACTACCAAAGTTTCAGAAATCCTGTCTCCATCTCCAAGGCAAAGGGACTAGAAAATGCAGTTCCACCAACTTGTGAACCCGTACTGTATCAGAAGTCATAAATGTGTAGTCACGCTGATTTGAAGGTAAAACAAGGACCTCTGAACCATCAGCAACACAGTCTACATCTATACAGTATTATCAACATCAGCATTAAAATGCTGTCAAATCCTCAATTTTTTCTTTTAAAGGGGAGAGTACAGTATAGCTCACACTCTTATAATTATATACACTAAATTTTCATACTGTTCTTTTAAAATGTAAAGCTGCTTAATAAATTAATGCTTCAACACTAACTCTCAACATTTCCAATCAGTAATTTTCTATAAAAGATGTAATTTTAAAGGACATCTCACTTCATTTTCACTTCATCATTAAAGAACTCACTTGACACTGGGAGGTTATTAAAAACACTGTTCAAACTGCAGAAATTTTCTGGCATCAAATATAATTATTAGAGAGGGGTGGATTTCCCCATGCACTTAGACCAGTTATTGGTCCATTGTGCATCCCCCTTTAATTTCTACTGTCGCCATACCCTACCGGTACTAGTTCATGCTATCAGCCCCGTTCAGCCAATGAGGTCGGCCGTCGGTACCTGATATTTCCCCCATCTACCAGAGGCATTGGAAACTACTTGGGCGGGAAATTGTTGCCTAATTTTGCTCAGAGGTCTCCTAGAGACATGAGGATCTTTTACATGCTGTAAATCTACAACATGGGACCCACGGCTTAAAGTTCCTCCCTGAGGACTTGTTCCTTGAATTTTTCCGCCCTTAAAAATTCCACGACCTCCGCCGGGCTTGAACCCGTGTACCTTGAGTCATGAGGTAGGAACATTACCCCTAGCCTACGGAGGCCGCTTGGCATCAAATAAAATGGATAGATGATCACAAATGGTTGCCAGCTAAGGATCTGGAATGAACTGGTCTATCCTAGAATTTACCTTGACAGATTAAATAAAGCAAAAACCTCTGTGAAAGTAATGAATAACCCACCTGAGATTCAAACTTGAAAACCTGTATAAGAGGATAGGAGGGAAAAGTAGCTGCAGCAGACAGTAATAAAGCTTAAACTTTGTTCATCTGATGAGCAAATAAAACCTACCGATATTCAGAGAAGCGAAAGGTCAGGTCAACCTTCAACTTCAAGAAATAATTCTCTAGTTTTCCAAGTGAAATACATTATCCATACATTAATTCATTGTACAGGAAGTAGCTGAACAGACTGGAATATCTGTTGGTTCATGTCACATAATTTAAATGCAAGATTTAGGGAAGTGATGGGTCTCAGGAAAATTTGTACCAAGGTTCTTGACTGAAGATCAGAGAATTCAAAACATTTCACTTTGTGAAGATTTCTTCCAATGAGCAAATGAAAAATATTATCACCAGAGATAAGACTTTGGTTTATGGGTATGCTGTTGAAATGAAAGTTATCACTACGGATGTGTCCTGATTTGACATGCCTCAAGAACGCACAACATGTGTACCTGAAAGTGAAAACAATGTTGACCTTTTTAATTATGGTGACACCCTTCACAAGGAGCTCATTCCAGCATGTCAGATGGCTTACCAAGTTTATTACCAGACAGTTCTGAGGCATGTGGTGGATGCAATATGAAGAAAATGACTGGAAATGTGGACTATATGAATGTGGCACCTCCATCACAACAATGAACCAACTGACACAGCATTCAAGAGTTCTTAGCAAAATATATAATTCTTGTCCTTCCACAGTCTCCCTATTAACCCAACCTATCCCCTTCAGACCTTTTTATATTTCTCAAAATAAAAACTACTCTGAAAGAAGGATTTCAAATGGTAGAGAACATCATTACAAATATGACAGATGAACTGAGAGAGATTTGAAGAGTACTACCTTCTGGGATATAACGCTGTGTAGTCTGCTGAAAGTCAATTGACATTTCAGAGGAACATACTGTCTCCGTCTTCAGGGTCAAAGATACCAGTGTGAAAGCAGGTGGCAAGCCAAAATATTGATTGACTTTCAACGAACTGCATGGCGTTATATCCCAGAAGATAGTATCCTTCATAACCACCCCTGTGAGAACCTCAAACCCCTACTGAGAGAGATTTAATACACACCCTTTGAACAGTGCTATCAAAAGTGGAAAAAGTGATGGGTGCAGTGCATTGCTGCTCATGGAAATTATTTTGACGGGGATAAGCATAACTAAGTTGTAGGCTTTGAAATAAAGTTATTAATAATAAACTTCAGATACTTTTTACACAAACCTCATATATGTGTTGTACTTCAACATAGCTGTTTGAAGTACAGTCACTGCTATGTAAGACAGCTTTACTTGGCATCATGCCTTAAAGGAAATATGCAGCAAACTGTGGGTGCTGGAAAATTAGACAGCAATACTTCCTAACTCATAAAATATCAATGCATAGACTCCTTAATTTGATACCAGTTTCAAGAATTTCAATTTATTCTTCATGCTCAATTTAAAATAAACATCCTGTATTCTGCAAATGTGGCAAAAAATACTACATATCTTTCATTACTATACCTGCAGTTGATGTTGATATCCACATATATTTACCATCCTCTTCACCACAGGTACTGGAGTTAGGACCATTTTCTGGTAGTGTTTTGGGTGTAAGATGTAAATGAATGTCATTCAAAATGCTGGGGAAGTCTTGGATTCTCTTACTTCTGCTTTCATCTGCATCATGGATGGCTAAACTGTTCCCATGGGCTTTTGACACAAGTCTTGAGTGGATATCACCAAGTATGCTGGGAAAATCCTTTTCCTTGTATACAAAGTAGTTTGCACCATCTGTATGAAAACCGTTCTTCCGTTGCTGCTCCAACAGTTTTTGTTTCCGTGTTTCTAGAATTTCATAATGAATTTGATGCAGGATGAAGCGATTCCAACTCTGGAAAACATTACAAGAAAAAAACTTGACTAACTCCCATCAAGCAGCCCAAGAAGTGTATGTAATGAACTGTAACAAACATACACTTTTAAATAAATCTGAACACAATCTAGGTTGAAAATCTGGATTTTAAATTTCCTAAAGAAGGGAATTCAGTGGAACTCACATCTAATGCTTCTCAAATTAATGATTTCCCTTTATTTAGTATCAAATTTCAAACAAGTTGTTTTTAGCTGGTTATTTAATGACACTGTCAGTTTTTAGACTATATGGCATCAGAGACAGGATCAGTAATGAATGTGGAGCAGTTGATGGAATGAAAACTGGCAGGAGAAACAGAAGTATTCAGAGAAAACTTATCCCATTGCCACTTTTCATGTCAGAAGTCCCTGACCTGGGATTCAATCTATGTTGATGTGGTGAGAAGCAAGGAATTTCAATGAACACAAGTTAATAAATTCAGTGTTAAATTACCTATGCTTAAGATTTTCCTCATTTTAGTGCTCCATTGCCCCCCCTCTCCCCTCCTGAAAACCGTAAATGGGGGTTTCACCATATTCCATCACAATAAGGATGTTTATGAAATATAATTTAATTCTGGTATGAATCAGTCCAGTTTAACACCTATAACTTGAGGGGATGTATTACACTGCTGTTTTTGTTGTTTTGATTTAGACATATAAAATAACAAGAAATATGCCAGACCGACCATTCCTCCATATAACTGCCACAGCAATTGTAGTATTTGTCCTGATACTACATCACCTGTTCATTTCAAGCAGAGAAGAAATCAGGGCTCACTGTGCATCCTGGCTTTCACCTCATCATTACAACAGAAGTGTTTTCCTTCAGTGGTTCAGAGAAGTGGAAATCACTAAGTGGAAGACCTGGGCTGAAAGCTGGTAAACAAAGGTACAGCTATTCCTGTAACAGGACATTCAGGCTCATAGGAGATGCTGAAAGCTGGTAAACAAAGGTACAGCTATTCCTGTAACAGGACATTCAGGCTCATAGGAGATCTCAAGGCTTCCACATTAACTAGATAATCAGCTCACAGAATGAGGCGAGGTTGTCAGCCTTACATTCTGACTGTCCTTTACCCCCCAAGAAGATTCCTGTAACTCATCTCTATCAGAGGCTGGGGCCTTAGTGCAGCTGAAAGGATTAGGTAAATTGATAAATCCACTAACCTCAGTGGGAATCAAACCCACAACCTTCTGGCTTGTAGCACAGTGCCTCAACCAATTACACTAATGCATGCCCCTGGCTGAAAGATGAGTGAGTCAAAATGCCATCTATATCAATTTTCCTCCAGAAAATCTCTTGCCCATTCTCCATCCACCTTTCAGCTAATGACTTCCACCCTTTGAACCACTGAAGAAGCACGCTGAAGCAAAACACTTCTGACATGATGATGAAATAAAAACTGAGCTGTGCCAGTGAGTGTAAATACAAAGCCCTGATCATGTCTTGATGGCAATTAAACAAGTGGTGTACTGCTGGAACAAAGCTCTCAATTTCTCTGAAAATTTATGCTGGCAAATAACTAGACATCTATATCAAAGTAATAAATATAAGTGTAACACAACTTTGGAAGTTACTTACTGAACAGTCTATATACATTATATGTTTCCTCCTCTACATGGATTAAATACATGTTCTGATTTTCAGGAATGTAACCTCTGTCTGTAACGAGAGTCAGCTCTACAGCATAACGTCTGTATGAATGATTAACTTTTTTAACAGTAGACTTTATGACCCTAAGACGTTTAGTGTCTGTATTGTTCAGTAATTCTGCAAGAAGTTAATATCAAGACCAAAAATGGATGGAAAATTACAAAGAATTCGTTTGTTAAATATGTACACTCCAACATGAAGAATATTCTTTCATCTTCTTTACTATGAAACAACATTACTGTAACATTATTAGCCATATACAAAAACATACCTGAATGAGTTGGATTAAGTTTGTTTTCTTCTTACTTTCGGGACTTTGGTCAGAAAGAATAAGACCAAGTGCTGAGGCTTCAGGAACAGTGCGGAAAGCTCGAAGAAAGTTGCTGGACTGGCAGGGAAATCCTTGTGATACATCAAGCATGTGGAACAGATAGCCAAGCTCACAAGCAAGGCAGAACTCCTTGTGGCACAGGTGTGACAGCAAAATACTCCGGACAGGGTTCACATAGTACAGCAGCTGACAAAGAAACAGAGGTCTAAGGGTTGTGACACAGTAATCCATGTAGCTGGTTCAAATACATTAAAAAATTACTTCTCATAATGATTTAACTGTTTAATGCCACATGACACTAGCTGACAGTCACTCAGCTGGTCAAGAAACTTGATGGTTCATCACTCAGCTCACAAGATAGAGCATCACTGGTCCTATATTCAACGAGATGAATCCAGCCCACATCATCAGAGATTTAATGTTGTGACATGGCAGCTGAAAGACCAAAATAGTGGATCCAGAAGGGAAGCATGCTGCTAGGGAACAGCCGACAAACACATGGCCCACAGTCGGAAATGGTGCTTTCATTTGGGTCTGTCCTGAGGCTACATAGCAAGCGCAAATTAGACAACTTATTTAGTCTTAGCAACTAGAGTAGTGAGAAGACAAGTCATTATAATTCTTTGTAGTTATGAGTTGTAAATGGTCAATAAATCCAATTAGCAATCCAAACCCTGTGTCCAGTCACTAATATATCATAATATTATCTTCCCAAGCAGTTTCTTCCCTTCAGGCTTTCCATTAAAATTTTGATTGTATCTCTCTTCTCCCTCATGTGTTGCATTTCTAACCCATTTCATCCTAATTTCTTTGAAGTTTTTGGTGAAGAGTACAAAAAAGCTCAGTGCTCACTGGTCAAGAAATGCTTGCTACCAGCTCTTCAGATGTTACTTAAGCAAAAATGAATGGTAAATGTCAGTGGAGGTTGGTACTACCTATTATAAAGGGTCATCCAAAAGAACTTCCTAACTCTTTAAGTTTTAGTGTCTTGTTCTGTGTGGTCAAATGTGCTCTTTTACTTTGAGAGAAGACTATAAATAATAAACATCTCAAAACAAAAGGTTCAGAAAAATATCTGGCCTCAAGGATTATAAACTAAAGAGATATTTAGGATATAACGTAATGAAGAATATTGCTAGGATAGTGAAATACAAAGGGATACAGTGGGCTAGGATGGGGAGAGAAGGAATATCTGAAGAATTTTGGGAATTCCCAATTATCATAGCACTTCATCCTTACCTGAAGCATTGCATTACAGTAGGAGTTTGGAAGAGTTGCTTCAAGACCAGAGAAACCAGTTCTGTTGTATTGGTCAAAATCACAGTCTTCCATGCCCATCTTTGAATACTTGACATCAATCTTACGGTAGCGCTTTGGAATTGCAATAAAATTTGCCTCTTCTCCTGATTTACCTGTCCGAGAATCACTATTGAACAGCTTTGACTGCCTACGGCCTCCACCATGTTTCTCCAGTTTATATGCAACCTGTAAGAATCACAAAGTTATCCTGTTCTTTTACTGGTAATAGCATATTAGCAGATACAGGCAATCCACATAAGCTTAACCCAAAAACCAAGTACCTCAGCATCCCCCTTAAATAAAACAAGATTGTAAAATTATCTATTGTACATTTGCATGGTGAATTCCATTGAAGGACTTGTATAATAAGTGATGTGCCAGCATCCATATTCTTATATGAAAAGAGAGTATAGCTAATACAATAAAGGGAAGTAACATTCTGTAGTTCCAGCGGTCTTATTTTTTTAAATGAATAATTCTGATATATATGAGATAAACTCCGTCTTAAGTGCAACAATTTAATTGTAGTTCTTTCTTCTTCCCTTCCTCCAAACTACATGTTTCGGCCCTAAATGGCCATCATCAGGTGTGTATTCTTACGTAGCTGCTACACTGCCCGTAGTTTAAAATTTAAAATCACCAGTCTTTCCAATTGTATGTATGTATAAAATCTTTGTTAACCTACACGCATCAATTTGATTTCTAAAATTGTCACTTTTTTAAAACTTCAATTCAAATTAAAATGTCTATAAATTTTCTGTTCTTTTTCTTTTTCCGAATTTTTAAAAATTAAAATTTTCTCGGGGTACACGCCCTATGTCTATAGAGGCTACACAGAACAATACCTTAACAGCGATAAAACAAGAAGTGGCCTCTGCAGCACTATAGACATAGGGCGTGTACCCCGAGAAAATTTTAATTTTTAAAAATTCGGAAAAAGAAAAAGAACAGAAAATTTACAGACATTTTAATTTTAATTGAAGTTTTACAAAAGTGCCAATTTTAGAAATCAAATTGACGCATGTAGATTAACAAAGATTTTATACATACATACAACTGGAAAGACTGGTGATTTTAAATTTTAAACTACGGGCAGTGTAGCAGCTACGTAAGAATACACACCTGATGATGGCCATTTAGGGCCGAAACATGTAGTGTGGAGAAAGGGAAGAAGAAAGAACTACAATTAAATTGTTGCACTTAAGACGGAGTTTATCTCATATATATTGTGTGAGTGTAACAGGATGCTTAAATATAATAGAATAATTCTGACTCTGATGAACTCTTCCCTTATAATAAACAAACATTACATTCACATGCAATGATTAACTTTTAGGTGATACTTATTCAAACTGACAAAAAACCATAACTATCATCTTACAGTGAATGAATAAACGATCAATATTTAGACCCTACTGTCCACTGCTATTACAGGCACTAAATGAAAATTAAACAAGTTCTTTAATATATGCTTCAGAGTCATACTATAACAGAGCACTGCATTAGAATAAAGAAACAAATTTGGGATTACTGGGTTTTTGGACTTTGTCCATCATTTGGTACTCTAAAGAACACACTGTTTTGGAAATTGCATATGTTGCTGTCCTCAGGTGAAAGGGAGGGAGACACCTACTCTGTTGGACCTGTCAGAAACAGATAACCTCAATCATCACTGAAGGTCCAACCTGGAATGACACATGCTGACTTCTTCAATAGTAATACTTTCAGTGTTCATGACCTTGCCCAAGCCAATGCTGAGGTGTGCCCAAAGGCTCTAGTGATAGAGGTTAGCTCTTTCTAACAGATCCAACAGTGTATGTGCTTCCCACCCCTCACCTGAGGATGGAAACACGTCCAGTATCCAAAATGTTGTGTTCTTTACAGTACCAGATGAGGAACAAAGTAAAACATTCTGTAATGCTAATATGTATACACTATCATTAAGACCCTTTACAACTGAATTAAGCAAATTTTATTTCAGTGTAGCATAAATTCAATAATGAGTTTCTTGCTTTCTGTTCCTTAGTTGCTATCTTTGGCTGAAACAACTCAACTGTTTGCTTTCATGTTGACTGACCTGTTATAAGACAGAATAAGACTTCAAAAATGCAGTCAATTATATTTTAATTATTAGTGGCTTTGCTTCGCATATTCACAAACCAGTCACAACATCCAATACTGAAACAATACAAATTACAGGTTTCAGGAAGCTCATCGAAATGAGCTTTCTTCACTATAGTGATAACTACTGAAAACAGATTACTGTTGGCTGATCCAACTACCAGCAGAATTAGTGCTACCTGCAACCAGCATGTGCGCACTCAACATCTCATGCAACGCCAATACAATTGTATTGTACAGACAGGTATACAAACACACACGCATACCTATAAATTCAAGTGAAATTTCAATTAATTATTATTGAGAATAAGTCTTCAGTAATCTTTGCACCTGTTTGGAAGACCACTGCTGAGTGTCAAAAACACATGCTCAGAAATAAACCCCTCCCTTTATAGTTTATTACCTCAAAAAATGTAAGACCACAGAAAAGGTGTGGACAAAAAGATGTGTCATTCATTTTTCTCAATAACTTTTGTTCAAAACATTACTTTCTGAAATAAATACTTGGTGACTTATGCTCATTACATACACAGAAACACATGTAGGTTTTCATGTAAAGTGTATGTTACTTTTGTTCAATTTTAAATAAGATTGCAATATGATCATAAATTTTGTTCCAACTCTCCAATACCAAATTTCTTGAAAATCCTTCCATACATTTTCAGATTGTTTCATGTGTACAGATGGACAGAGGGAACAGATTTAATAGGCATATTTTAGGGTTGTGAATGTGCCTAAAGATGTTTACTTCCACTCTATTCAAGTAAAAAAAATTTCATGTTAATAAATTCTGAAACAATGTATGAAGATTTCTATGTGAAAGACAGTTCTGTTCTCAAATTGATAACTACTGTTATTTCATGAATACCATAAAATCAATTTTTGCATACACAGTAATGCTGCTTGAACTCAAAAGATTATATACCACAAAATGAGATGTGTGAGAGATCATGAATGGAATAAAAAAATGGATGTGGAAGGAGACAGTCATGGTCTATTTGAAGATACTGTAATGACACTCGTCTGGACATGGACATAAGTGGGGAAGAAAAAGAAAAGAAGTTGGAATAGCAGATAATCCAGCCAAGATTTGAACCAGGTATATCCTGAATAAAAGTCTACAATGTTACTATACATCTGTTTTCCATTAAGCTGACATTATCAGAACCTATATCCCTGAGTAACAATATTATTCTGAGCTCTCCTTGGTCTCATGGATGCTTTATTATTTTTTTTTCCATAAGAAATTTATGTAGCATTTTCCCATTTCTTCCATCCCAGTTCATAACAACATTAACTTTATAACACTGACACTGTGTATGAGAAAGTTAATATAATTAAGTAGAACATGGGAAATCCAAATGGTTGATTCAACAAGTAAGATAATGAAATATTAACATATAAGGGAATGCATATGAGTTTTCTCAGGTTAAAATCCAAACAAATGGCATGGTAAAGGGTTAATTCTGTTTCAACTAGGCAGAGTCAATACTTCCTGCATTACTGCTTTCTTAATTGCTGCTAGTTCACCTGCTACCTTTGGCCTTGTTAAATCTTATTAGATAATCTTGTTCAGTCTCCTTTTATTACTGGGCAGTTTGATGTAGCAGTAATGAGGCAGATTTGTATTTGGGAAGTATCTGGTTTGAATCTAGGATGGGTTACTAGCTATAATGACTGATATGTAATTACAGCATTTGTTGTTGGCCACGTTGTATATTGAAGCTGTTCCAATGTTTCAGTGTAGTACATTGCAGTCACGATCTTTAGGGTCAATGTGAGGAAGTTGGAAATAAACTGATTTATGGGCCTTGCAGTGAGAGTAAAGGTTGATGAATGGAGCATGGAGCTATTAAACAGAAAGAGGGCCATGTGGATAAGAAGAGGAGCTGGAAGAAAAGCTGAAGCCAGACTTTGCTCAGTTTTCACAGCTCTTCTGATGGCGTTGATTAGTTTTTTTACAGTCTCCCATGCAACATTATATTCTATAAAATTTATTAAAAGTTATTCACTTTAAAAGTTTATCACTATATGTTTCAACCAATGTGATCATCATCATCATTATCAGGTTTTTAAATTATTGAATGAGGAAACTGCTGTCTTCTGTTTCATTGTTTATGTTGTTAATATAAAGTCCCCTCGATGCGCATATGTGTTTGAGTTGGTGCGTCATATTCTCTCCTGTTGTGTGTCTTATTTTTGAATGCTTCGAGGATTTGAAAACAAGCAAGTTAATAGAAACACTGACTGTGACAGTAAGCTATTTGGATGAGCATACAATTTTTGTCAGTAACTTTAGTGCAAGGTTTCAGTATCCAGGGCTTCATACACATCTTACAGACAGCTCTATTAAATGCCAACTTCACAACTCTTAGAGCAAGGCTGCCAAATCTTTTGCAACAGAGGGATATATAGCAGGCCCATCATATCTGTAGTCTGATGTAGGGGCTGGTGTCCCACTTCCACTTCTACAGCCTTAGGAATCCCCACCCCCTTTCTGTCCAGAAGTGCTACAGTAAGCTGGCTTGAAAATTTGTTCTAACATTGGATAGGTTTACTACACAATAAAAATTTGTTATGCTCATTTCTTTTCTCATAAAAAAATATCACTTTAAAAATGTTTCCTTCCCACTGTGATCAACTTTACTCAACATGTTACTAGACTGACTTCGGTATGAGTCACCGAATCATGTTCAGTGCGACAACAATGTAAACTGCAACATGATGGCCAANATTTTAATATCACTTCCAAAACACACAGATAAACAACTCATGCAATAAAATCAATAAATTCCCTTATGATCTGAAAGTTCAATATCAAATTCTCAACAGGCCACCACTGAACTATATTCTGAGACAGCACAATCAAGTTCACATCCTTACACTATTTATTTAAGATTTACTTTAATAAGATCCTTCCAACAACTGATCTCTTTCCTTGAAGTTGCTGAAATCATGCCAGAGAATCAGTCCAGTCCTGAAACCCTTTGATATTTTATTAGATACTACCACTGAGGCTGCAGAAACATGTCTCATGCATCAGTGCCCTCCAAATTGAATCAAAC